AGGCTCTGAACTGTCAGCACAGAGCCTGATGCAGGGCTTGAACTCATGGGCCACAAGTCTATGACCTGAGATGAAGTTGGACGCTTAACCCACTGAGCCACCCAGGCACCCCCCAGTGTTCTGATTTCTGCCACCATAGATTAGTTTTGTCTGTTCTAGAACTTCATATACATGAAGTCAAATGTATACTATTTTGTGACTGATTTGTTGTTGTTGTCGTTAAGCATGTCTCTTTTTTTTAAATTGTATATTAGTAGCACACTCCTTTTTATCGCTGAGTAAGATTTTATTGTATGAATATGCCACAGTTTGTTGATCTGTGCAACTATTGACAGATAATAAGATTGTGCTGTGAACGTTCTCGTACGGGTCATTTGTGGACAAATGTTTTCATTTCTCTCTCTCTCTCTCTCTCTCTCTCTCGGGTAAATTCCAAGGAGTGGAATTTCTGGGTCATAGGCTAAGTGTATGTTTAACTTCATAAGAGACTGCCAAACTGTTTTCCAAAGGGGTTGTGCTATTTTATCCTCCCACTAGAAATGTTAGAGAGTTGGGTTCTGCTACGTGTTTGCCAACAATTGATATTTTAGTCTTTTTAATTTTAACCATTCTAATGGGTGTGAAGTGGTATCTCATGATTTTAATTTGCATTTCCCTGATGACTAATAAGGTTAAGCATCTTTTTGTCTGCTTCTTGACCATTTATATCTTCTTTTATGAAGTCTGTTCAGGTCTTTTGTTCAGCTTTTGAATTGAGAGTTAGTTGTCTTAAATTATTTAGTTGTGAGGATATATATATTCTGAGTACAAGTTCTTTTCAGGATGCATGTTTTGTGAATACTTTCTCATAGTATGAATATTAAAAAAAAATTTTTTTTTTTACATTTATTTATTTTCGAGAGACAAGAAAGACAGAGAGAGTGTGAGCAGGGGAGGGGCAGAGAGAGAGGGAGACACGGAATCAGAAGCAGGCTCTAGGCTCTGAGCTGTCACCACAGAGCCTGTCGTGGAGCTCGAATCCATGAACCCATGACCTGAGCCCAAGTCGGATGCCTAACCGACTGAGCCACCCATGCGCCCCGGTATGAATAATATTTTTAATTAAGTTTATTATTTATTTCTTTTAGTAATCTCTACATCTAATGTGGGGCTTGAACTCATGACTCTGAGATTAAGAATTGCATGCTCTTCTGGGTGAGCCAGCCAGGCGCCCTAGTGCCTGATAAATTTTAAATTTTGATGAAATTTAATATGTAATTTTTTTTTGTTTTATGGTTCTTGTTTTTGTAACCTAAAAATTTTTGGTTCTCTTTTAAGTCATGAAGATAGTCTCCTATGTTTTCTTCTAGAAGCTTTAAGTCTCGCTCTCTCTCTCTCTTTTTTTTTTTTTTTTTAATCTTTTAGATATTTTACTTTTAAGTAATCTCTACATTCAGTGTGGAGCTCAAAATCACAACCGGAGGTCAAGAGTTACATGCTCTTCTGACTGAGCCAGCCAGGTGCCCCTTAAGTTTCTCATTTCTATGTTGAGGTAGATAACCCACTTTGTGTTATATTTTTGTGTATGGTATGAGGCAAGGAATGGAGTTTCATTTTTTTTACATATTTGATTTTTTTCCTCCAGTTGTTCCAGCACCTTGTGCGGAAAAGACTTTGCTTTCCCACTTGTTTGTTTATTGAAATACCTATGGGTCTATTTTTGCAGTCTCTTCTGTTTTACTGATCTTTTTGTTTTTCCTTATTCTCATATTACACTGTATTGATTACTTTAAGTTTTAAGATAGGTAGGGTAAGTCTTCCAGCATTGTTGATCTTTTGCAAGATTATTTGGCTATTCTAGGTTCTTTGTATTTTTATATGAATTTTAGAACTGGAAGTCAGCCCTCAGCACAAGGGTTTTAAAGAAGAAAACCAAAATAGAATTGGAATGTCAGTTTCCACAAAAGAAATAAGAATGCTGGGATTTTAATTGTGTGGCATTGAATATATAGATCAATTTGAGGAGAACTGATACCAGAATATTTGAAGTTTGAAGTTGATTGTCAAGGACTGAGGTTTTTTTTCCCCTACTTGCAAGCTGGTAAGTTTATCTGCCACTGTGTCACCAATGCTGACTGAAGACATGAGCCTCCTGGGGGCAGGGACTCAGAGCACGGCAGGCAGGATGAGCTTCACGTTTGAATCATTCTGCACGAGTCCCACAGGGGTGACGCAGAGTGACCCAGGTGGATGCCGCACATGCAGTGGGTCTGGGTCTGTGTCATGGCTAGAGAACCCTGAGTTTAGGGAACCCTGATGTTTTATAATGGGCTGCCAGCAAAGCTCTCTGACCCTTGTTTCTGAGGAACACAGCATCTGTATTATATTGGACACCAAACAAGCCTGCTTTCTACTTCGGAGGGAGATAGCTATCTGTGTTTTTTTTTTTTTTTTTTTAATGTTTATTTTTGAGAGAGGGAGAGAGAGCGAGAGGGAGGGTCAGAGAGAGAGGGAGACAGAGGATCTGAAGTGGGCTCTGCATTGACAGCAGAGAGCCCAATATGGGGCTTGAACCCACAAACCATGAGATAATGACCTGAGCTGAAGTTGGATGCTTACCCAACTGAGCCACCCAGATGCCCCACAATGTCTGGTTTGTAAGTGGTTTGGTCCACAAATGTCCTTGGGATGGTAATTCACAATGAAAGCTGCCATTCCTCTGTAAGATGTGCAGAAATGTGAGAGACCCAATGGAGAGCTATCTTCCAGCAATGGTTTATCACTCTATTCATGTAGGTCTTCTGAAATTTCTCTCAGCAAAGTTTGGTTTGGCAGAGCGAGGGGCAGACTCATCTCTTGTTAAGTTTACCTCTTAGTATTTTACAGGGTTTTTTTTTTTTTTTTGGATGATAGCATCCAATAAAATGCTGTTTTAAAAACTGTACGTTCATTTTCCAATCATTTGTTACCAGAATATAAAAATATATTTGATTTTCATATTCTGACCACCTGTCCTACAACCTTGCTAAACTCATTTATTACTTCTAGTAGGGTTTGCTTGTTTGTTTGTTTGTTTTGGTAGATGGCTTATGATCTTCTACACATCCTGATTAAAGATAGTTCTCCTTTTTCCTCTCCAAGCTTTTATTTTTTTTCACCCATCTCATTGTACGACCTAGGGCTTCTAGTCCAATGCTGAACCCTAAGGGGAAAAGCATCCACTATTTCACCATTATGTCTGATGTCAGCTGAGGGTTTCTCATGGGGGCCCTTTATCACAGGGAGGATGCTCCCTCCTGTTCCTGGTTAGGCACTGTGGGCTTTCTCCTGACGGGATGCCTCTAACAGCTGTGCCGGGTCTGCTGAGGCTCTTGTTTTGACAAGGACACGTCTTTCACCGGGGCTTTGTTACCTGGTGAGAGTTGTACTTCTTATGTTCATGGATGATGACAGTTCATTCTGGAATGTCTGCTCTGAGTTCCCCTGAAGCAAACGTATTTTATTTTATTTTATTTTATTTTATTTTATTTTATTTT